ACACATGTTTAAGCTAGTCTACTTCATGATCAAGAAGGGCTTCACCTCTAGGAGGAAGCTCATGCTCGACCTCCAGCTCCTCCTCAAGCGCAGCAAAATCGCAGGAAAAGTCATCGCCAACATGTTAACCTTCAACAGCATCGATAATTTCGAATCCTGCATCAGCCCACAAGGGGTCGAGTTCAGCTGCGGCAACACACCATCAAACCCAACCTGCCAGCTCAATAGGCGGAGGAAGCGCGACTCTAGTCATGAAGTTGCTACGTCTGCTGCAATTGCTAGAGCGTTTGAGATTCTGAGCCAAGAGAGTTTTGACGCGGGACAACATTCTGTTGTGCCTTCGCCTTCACCGGCGTCAAAATGGAGTTTTGGGAGTACTCCGAGAAGAGTGAGGCGGATTCGGGTAACGGATTCGCCGTTTCCTATTAAAGAAGAGGAGGAGGAGGATGACGGTGGAGTCGATAAACAGGCAGAGGATTTTATTAGAAGGTTTTACGAGCAATTGCAGTTTCAACAAGGGATGTAATTCTTGGGGTTTAAACTGTTTTCTTGTAGCAATGCGTGTGCATCTGCGTAAGAAAGATTTGAGAATGTACTTTTAGTTTTTACTATATAATTAATATCATACCATGAATTAATGCTTTAGTACAATGAATTATATAAATGAGAGTTGAATTTTTCGAGGTATTCATGATTACCCAATTGATCTAAACGCTTGAAACTCACTAGCTATGAGAACTTGACCCCGCCGAAACAAGTTATGTATTGGTCTTAAATTCAAGTTCATAGACTGACGAAAATTGATTATTTTCATATTGAATAGTAATTTGAGAATGTTAATGCATAATTAAACTTATTTAAAATTTTCAAATATGAAGGCTTGACAGAAATTATTAGTATTGCTATAAATACAACTATACGTTCTGCAGATTCAATTCGAAGCAAACAATTAATCACATTTAGAGAACTTTTTGAGTGCTACTGTAAGTACGTAGTCTCTGGTTCTAGGGTTCCACTCCCTTTCTTCTCTTGACGTAAGTTGTGCTGGATCCTGGATCTCCTAGTGAGGGCCACTTAACTAGTTACTCTTTAAGTTTTGGCAAATATTATTTTTAGTACTATGGAAATATTAAATAATGTCATAGTTTATAGAAATTGAAGTTGGGGAAGTTGCATCGCATGACCATACATACGTAATTAAGTAGAATATTCTTTCTGAACCCTACAATGAGTTGGGATTTTGTAAGCCCAGGTATAACGGGTTATGATAAAAAGGCGAACCACTTGCATTACAAAAAGGAAAGAAAAATTAAAAATGCAAGTGACCAGGGAATGCATACCGATGTAAATAGCTTACTTTAATTTCAATTGAAAACAGTGCAAGAAACAAACAAGTGCTTATGGATGTAGATATTGTTTGGGTCAGAAATTGTTCTTTTCATTGTTATCGAATCTATTACAACTTTAGTCGTTACAATAAACTCAAATAAATAAAAAATCAATCTTTTTATAAGATCTTCTTACACAATGAAAATATAAGATTACAATTTCTTCAAACAACACACAACAGATGTTTATCGCCTGTTGTTTGCGTGAGATCTTTACCTGTGCCGGGGACGTTGATATCCGTGGACCGCCGCGGATCAGATCCGGTTGATAGATTGAAAATCAAAGCTCCTACTTCACGAAGAAAGTATTCGCTGAAGTGGTAATCCCGACCAAGCGAGATTACGACCCTTCTCGGGATTTAAGACCAAGCCTAAATCCGAAGGAATATGAGGGAAAGGGGTTTCAGATCTTTCGAACTCTCTTTTTGTTTATGGGGAAACTTCGCCAAGATCTGCTAACCCTCTGAAATTCGTGGCTCCACTCTCAATTTTGACAGCACCTCGCCCTCTTAATCCCCTCCCTAAAAATGAACACTCGAGCTCGTATTTATAGGCTCCGGTTGAGGGGCTTTTGGATCAAAACGAGGGATTCCTCCTTATCTTTAGTTAGTAACTGATTAACCACAGTATCAGATCAGTTGGGACGCCCAGGATCAAACAAATCCCGAAAGAATCAGTGAAAAACAGAAAAAACTAGTTTTAGATCGGAACTGGCCGAATCGCCACTTGGTGGCTCGGCCCGTGGCCGA